AACATTCCAGAAACTGTGCATAAATGCACAAGACTGCTGCTACATCCTCCAAACTTAGTAGCACACGTTCACATATAAATATATCGAACTTGCAGCAATATTATTACACACATTGCCATGTTTTTATATATTCCTCTATAAATGTAGCCAGTGTGTAGAAATATATACACACACAAATATATATAAATATATATATGTTTGTATATATTTTGAAGAAATTTTGTTTATATTACTACAACGGCAATATAAATTCCATACTATAACTGCCAACCATGTTAAAAACCGGTAAAATTTAAATAATTTTTGCTATTTCCTTCAGGAATGAATCCGAATACTCTTGTTAACATAAAAATATCTTTTTTTTTTCTTGCTTAGCACCGCATCGCATCGCACCGTTTAGTGCTGTCATTTATTTTTGCGACATATTTGAAGAACAAATGCAAGTCTCTGATTTTAGTAGTGTAATTTTTTTTTTTACTCTGTTTTTAATGTAGTATTATATATATTTAATAATAACTAAAGTAGCTAATAAGCTCTGATTAAATGAGTATAAAAAATTTATGAGCTTAATGTACTCAGTTTTATCAGGATGTCTGGGAAATTTCCTCTTGAACCCTCCAATATTTAATATGCACTTTACAGGTACAGGTGGTATACAGGTATAAATACATTCATTAATAGGCGTCCATACCTGATTCCTAAAATGAGTATGACGCATGTAAGTAAATACGCAAAATTATTAATGAATCATTTATGTTTTATGTTACTTCTGAGAATAAACAAATTAACGATTGTGTTATACTGATAATGTAATCTGTGTTTGTTTTATTGTTAAGGACGTTGATTTTTTACTCAAAACACTACACTATATTTTCAGTACAATGATTCATGTTTGGCTTCTGTAAGTTTATTGCATAATTCTGATTTGTATAATAATTCTGATTGATAATAGACTGTTTTCAATAAGTAAAAGTATATTAGAAACCTTTATTTATAAAATTTTTGATATAGTTTATTAGTCTAAAATATGTTTTTTTGTGTGGATTTTGTGGGTATTTTAAAATTTGTGATTTTCTTCATGTATTACTAGAAGTTTTCCTGCGTGATAACAGTACTGACGGACCATTTCTTTGCTCAAGTAGGTTTTGATGTGCAAGGAGGTCTTCACTTGAACTTAGCTTAAGAAAGTCACTTGTTATATATGAATATTGATGTGCATAAAATAGATCTTTTTTCTACTTAGCAAAAAATGTAGGAACTACTAACGATTGTAACTAGATCGAAAAACCACATTATACCAAGTAATTAAATTTTTAATACAGTATTTTTTTTATCGAAATTATATTTTAAGTAAGTGTCTAAATAGTGGCATATGACTGGAAAAAATAGTTCCAAGATCGAACAGGCTTGTGTCCAGGTGACACTTCCAACAGTGATTATATATTTTATTTGAAATTTGTTGTTTGTATATGTTTTTGTCCCACTATTAAGTCCGTCTTGTTTCTTATATTATGAAAACAGTTGATTATCGTTGATTTCCAGATATATGTTGTGGAAGTCTGGTATTTTAAGTCACACATATTTAAACTGAACTATTTTTAGTGCACATTTTTTTTAAAGCTCTTTATGGACTTATCACTTATAAAGAATGTGATGTGTATTCATCAAGCCCTATGCTGCAATCAGAGCTTAAACGATCATATATATGTGTAAACGTGTTAAAGCCTAGAGCGATTATATCATGGTTGGAAATGTAACAAAAAAATCTAAACATTTCTAGACATTTTTCTAAATATTAGGGTTTGGTAAGGTGTAGTCTAGAGGAATTATATTATTTCAAAAAATTCTGATTGGAAGAAAACAAATTCACATGTGACACTAAACTCTTCTTCTTCTTTCTTCTTTGTTCCATTAACTCCCAGTGGAGCATAGGGTCTCAATAAACTCACTCGGTGATAAAAATGATCATTATGTTATAAAATCATAGTTAGGAGTTAATTATAGCTCTTTTAACAAATTGTCTATCCAATCTACCTCTAAGATCAAGATAACAACTACTAAATTTTGTCTCTAACGTGTCTGCTCTCTGTTCTCTTTTTACTTGCGTTAGTGCTGGCTTCCTTATGTAAACAATTAACATTTCTTCGAAATCAAAAATTAACTTGAAAACTCTACACCTATAGAGTTAAGGGTTAGTATAAGGACGTGTGCTGTTATAACTGTCAACACTTTCACTCGGAGACATCTATCGCCTAATGTGTTGCCCTTCCTTACTTATGTTAGATAGAAATGATATTTGTTAATAAAGCTCAACCCTTGGTTGGTTGAAGTGATAGGTCAGCAGATATACTTCCGTTGTCTATAATTAGCAATTCTTTGCTAATTATTTTCGTTGCAAGAAACCTTCCACTTATTTTTACAATTGTGTCTCCAGACTACTAACGATGTTTCCAGTCCCCAGTCCCCAGTCCCCCCAGTTTTTATTTTACATATAAAGTACATAGAAATAATTATTAAAGAAATATCAAATGTAGATTAAAGAAAATCTTCTAAAAAGGCAAATAAAAATTTTACAAATAAATTTCAATTTGTTTTGATTTTTGTTCTATAGTTGGCGGAGGGGAAAGTGCTAGGAAGGAGAGGAGGAGGCCGTGTTATTTGTTTTTATTTGCTGTACTATTTTTCTGATTTTAACTTGTTTTGTTTTTATTACGTCAAGTTCTATGCCCTCGTACTTGCTCGATGCTGGCTGGCTTGACTGCATGTTGAATGCTGTATGTGTGTGTGTGTAAGTGTATTTGTATGTGTTTTTCATTACATTTAGCGTTTAGCGTATTCGCTTTTGCAACGCGCTGCGTTTATTTACCTTTGCTGCTGCTGCATTACAGTTTTTTTACGGCTGCTCGGGCTTCTTGGTTTCTTTGCTTTTGTTTTTTTTGTACTTAGTTTTATTTTTGTTTTTCTGTTGTGGTTACGTCTTTGGCTTCCTTCAGTCAGTGTTCGTTTTTGCCTTATATTTCTTTTGCTTATTATGTTGCTGCTCCTTTTTTGCATTTAATTCAATTCCCTCATTTTTTGTAATCCAACCATTTTGGAGGGAAAAAGTTGGCGTCATATACTAATTTTTTTTATTCTTAAAATTATTTTTATTATGGATTGTTTGTTTTTATTAAATCATTATGAACTCTGGTATGTACGTAGTCTATAATTCTATGTAAGCCTTAATGTGTGAAAATAATATAAACTGTTGGGAGAATATGAAATATTATTCGAAAGTGTGAACATTTCTTCTAAAACTAAATTAGGGAAGAAACATAATCATTACTTTGGAAAAGATATTTTATTAAATTTTAAAAAATATTTCGGGTAAAAGTGACTGTATTGTACATTAAGACTGAAAAGTTTTCGGAAATTCTCATTTAAAATTCGCGCGCTGTATATTTTTCGATATTTTAAGTTTATGTAGTTTGGCAGCACTGTCCTTAATTACTATGCCAAAAATGAGCGCGATCTGTCAGACAGTTCGTTTACGGCAGCTGTTGAAACCAGTCCACCTCAGTAGTGCGTTGCGAAATGTCTTCGACGGTCGTACGACCGTCCTGAAAGGCTTTGTACCACTCATAAACTTGAGTTTTCGATAAAACTGATTCCCCATAAACCTTTTGTAGCATTCGCAACGATTCTGCACACGAAATTTCGTTCGAAACACAAAATTTGATGCAAACTCTTTGTTCAATATTTTTTTCCATTGTTTTTTTCGCAACGCACTACTGGGGTGAACTGGTTTCAACAGCTGCCGTAAACGAACTGTCTGACAGATCGCGCTCATTTTTGGCATAGTAATTGTCCTTAATTGCTGCCAAACTACATAAACTTAAAATATCGAAAAATATACAGCGCGCGAATTTTAAATGAGAATTTCCGAAAACTTTTCGGTCTTAATGTATACTTAGTCGAAAAGATATTTCCAAATTCCAAATGTATCATAATAAATTAAATTACCTGATGTCCAGAAAATAGAAATTCTATGTATGTTTTCAAGAAGTTTTTTTTATATTATTTATAACAGAAAATAAATTAAAAATTTTTTGGTAAAGAAGGGTCTATCTAATAAATGCTAAATTAGTACTGAATGGGCAAACTTTCTCAAATAATTTATTTTCGATAGTGTTTTTTCAGAGCTTCTAATCGATATTTTTTACCGGAACCGAACTGACATATCTTTTTTCTTTTGAATCGAAACAAGATTCCGAACAGGAACCGAACCGAAAACCAAAACAAATAAAACCATATTTTTGCCGCAATGGTAATCGAAACCGAAACGATATATTTTTTTTTGAATCGGAACGAATACCGATTCGATTAGGACTTCGAACAGGAACCGAACCGAAAACCAAAAAAAAAAAAATAAAACGATATTTTTGCCGGAACGAAAACTAAATCGACTTTTTTTTTTAACCGGAACGGTTAGTTAAAAGTCATGACAAGTACCAGCGGAACATAGACTCAGTAACTCTTGGAAATATGGTTACGTTGTAAGCACTTTACGTTCATAAAAGAATAAAAGACGTTAAAACTTTTTTCATAAACTTTTCTGATAATACAAAATATCCCTTTGTTAACATTTTCTCTAAAATTGAAGTGGGGAGAGATATTATTATCTCTGTTTTGACTTAACCCTATGAGAGTAAAGTTTCGAGATTGAGACTGGAATACTTAACCTAATTCATTCTAATAAAATGTGAGACCCTGTTATTGTTGTTCTATATTAGTAGTATACCTAGTATCTATATTAGGTAAAAATAAAATTACAACTTTATACCAGAAATTTCTGCGGCAAATTTTTTATAGTTTTTAATTTTTATATATATGAACTAAAAGTTAATAAGTGCAACTTAACTATCGCAGAATAGAATATATGTATAAAATAAAATATATGATTATTAAGTTTATAATTTATTCTATTTTAAAAATAATTTTTTCTGTTTTTTTTTTTTTAGAATTCAATATTCTCTGTTTGGAATCGTGGACTGATGTCAACAACGAAGTAATGTTATTAACAATCGTAACTCACAATAACATATAACCATATTTGTTATTGTATGAAATGTATCTAAATCACCAACGTGAGGAACAACTATTGCTACTTAAGAAAGTAGTGCAGTTAGGGCGAAATTTTGTAAATTAAAAAAAGAAAAACAACGAAAGACGTCTTCAACTCAAATAGATCGATCAAATGAGAGAGGTTCGTTGCTGATATTATTGTAGGTATGTTGAATTGGTATGTTGTGTAATGTATTGGAATCACTTTAATTTATAAAATACTTTCTTGTAATATTAATAAATTTTATTTTGTATAGTTTTTTAGTTGTCATAACCAAATTTGTTTTTTTTATTGCCTTTGTTGTTATTATACTTAAAACCATTTGTTTTGCAAAGTAATTTTATAGTTCAAATATGATAGCTAGGCAAAAACTTATAATTAAAAGTTTGTTGTATGGTGTAAAGTGTGTGTACAGTACAGAAATTAATCTTAAAATTAATAAAAATAAGTCTGTAAGTCCTCTGACTAGCCCAAATTTATATTTGTTTGGATATTAAAAATTATATTTTCCGTTCCTTGATAGATTACATATACATCATATGTGTACGAATTGCGTAGATATGTTATATGCTGTTAGTTAGTATGACATATATTGTTGATGTAAATTTACTTTACAGTCTATGTTATTACGTACCAATAACTTTTTAAATACATTTTTAAATGACTAATTTTGAGATAAGATTTCTTTCTATTTAACGTCATTATTGTATCATGAATATGTTTAATTTCTTCAGTATTTTAAAAATATTATTAATATTATACAGCAAAAATTGCCATTAGTGGAAAAAAGTCGAATTAAAATTCATAAGAAATATTGAAAATACGTAATACAATTACAGATGACAGATGAATGTATTTTTATTCTACAAAATGAATATTTGCCAACAGAATGGTCCAGTTACCTAAAACTTAAAATCGTAAGAGGTTATTAACTCCTGAAAAGTTGTTCTAACTTTTAGCAGAAATGTCGAGCTTTCTTATGGTATTGAAAAACTAAGTTTTGCTCTTCTCACATCACTGCAGCGATTTTTTTTAGAAATCAGAATTAATGTGGAAATAAAACTGAAATATATTTATAGTTGTACGCAGTAATAATCATTATGTTGATTTATGTCCCTATGTACTTGTTCCTTTGAATTTTATTTGGTTTTTTTTAAATTTATCTATTTGTATATTTTGGGTTAGTTTTCACATTGCAATTATTTTTTCTATTCAGTGGATTCAGTGGATTGCAATTATAGTGCTCAAGATTATGACGGTGTTATCTTACCTTGCCGTATTTTGCCTTGCCATTTTAACAGTTGAAATTAGAACATTACTTAAGTGGCGGACTATAAGTAGTTCACTATAAGTAGTTTAATAGTTCATTCAGTTTAGGACTAGTTGAGGTATTGTTTCAACCGTGCTCAAGTCAAGTAATGTATTTCATATACTTAACTATTTATCTTTGAGAAAACCGTACTGGTAAATCGTAACCGTTTTCATAGAATCCTAATTTTGAAAATAGAAAAAGCTTGTCACAAGGATCTATTCAATATTGGCACTGTATATGATAGTAAAATAATATTATTCAAATATATATTGCTGGTATTCAGAGCTGTATTATTATTTATTATTAAAATTATTGACGTGAAATCACCCAACAGCCGATACTGCGGCCAGAAGAGTCCTATTGTACCATTTTCACTATTTATTACACAAAGCCCTTTAAAGGTATGTGACAAAGTTCAGGACTTTATCTAGAGAAGAGTTTTCAATCTGTTCTGGTGTCAGAAATTCCATATGAAATAAGTTTCTACTGTGCGTTGTTAATAGTAGCAGTGGTTTTGTCATCTTTGAGGCATAATCTGCATTCCAAATTAGGAGATAGTCGTAGTTTATGAAAAAGATATTTCAGATCGTGATGAAACTCTGTTATTAACATTAAATTACCTTTTGAGAATTTAAGAATGTTTACGTAGGAGTACGGTTTGATTAGTGCTTTGCTTTGTCTAAGTCGTGGAAAGTCTTCTCAGTACACCAGCCGCATATGATTCTCCCTCTCCTTGATTATTTATTTTATAGTGTTCCAGTTTAACCCACAAAAGGGTTGGAGGATCTGTAAAAGCAATTTTTGATGCAGTTCTGGCTAGCTCATCAGCAACTTCTCTGTGGTCTGGAACCTTGTAAGACTTACCTTATTTCGAGTTGCAGGTAACTGTAGAAGCTCGTACCATCCAAGGACCTGTTCGAACTTGAAAGTCCAAGAAGAGCAGAGATGTAAAGTAATGACGCAAAACGGCAACAACAAAATACATTTCGAGTTACCATGTTTATCGGTTAATTAGCTTTCCGTACCTAGAATTTTGATCGCAGATTTTATTTTTATCTCTATAGATGAATTGATAGCCATTTCTTTGTAGAAAGTATCTTAGTTTATTGGTGACACTATAACTTTTTTTAATTTTTTCCTGTTTCAAATAATCGCGATTTTGTACAATTATTTTCAATTCATGGAAATAATAAAAATATTGGCATTTTATAAACGCCAAAGTATGTGTCTATTCAATAATTTATCTGTTTAATAGTTGGATTGCTTTCTCTTAAAAATTTTCTATTGTTTTGCAAAATTGTTGCTAATTGCACATCTTGCTGAGTTGAGTGTGTGTTTATATACATTCAATTGACTTATTTTTGGAATATTTCTGCCGTGTATAGATAGAACCGATCGCTTCTTCTTTCATTTATCTCTAGTAGTAGTGTGCTCTGGTCGTTTGAAAGAAATTTGTTTATATTTCTAAAAAAAATATATATAATAAATGAGTCATAAATGAAACATTGTTTCAGTTTTCTTAGTTAAAAATATGTTCACTTAAATACCGTGGAATACCTATGAGTCCGCATTAGTCGCAATATACTATATTAATACTTGCAGTTCTTGGAACATTCGTTTTATGCTATGACTATTACAAAAACTTTTTTTATTTAAATAGATTTGACTATTATATATTACAATGAAATGCAGCCTAAAATGTAATCAAATGAGGTGAATCACTTGGACAATCTGTAAATACTTGTTGTTAAGTGTACAAACATTTATTACAAGTCCATAATATATATTCCTCATTAAATTTAATAACGTCATAATAAAATATGCGTCATATTTTGAAAATACGTATTTTTCACATATTTTGTATATTAGAAATAAAAGACTTCTTTTTTATGTTTTTGACTAAAAAATCGTGTTAAAAATTTATAATATAAATTTTTGATATATATATGAGATGTTTTTAGGAGGCGCTTTGTTAATATTAACCCTTGATAATAGACAACCCCATTCATTTGTTACTTACTACAAATTCATATAGATACCTTAAATCTCTTTGATTTAAATCAGTGCCTGTTAACGTGGGGCCTATGCCTCCATAAGGGACGATTCGATATTAAACTTTTATTCATGTTAGTTTAATTGATATTTTCTTTATCGAAGATTATATGTATCAAACATATAGTATTGATATCAACGGACAATGTTGTGTCCAGATAGGTTTATGTCAAATTGAATGAATAGGTTAGTTTTGTAAAATTATAAAATTGGTTAGTTTGAGCATAATTAATTAAAAAAACTCTTAAAAACTGATTAAAGAGTTACAAAAATTGTATACATAATAGAAGTAAAATATAATTACTTAATAGTAATTATATGTAATGATTATATAAATATTGTAATAATACAATTGTAAAATAATATTAAAAAAAATTAAATTAAAATAATATTAAAAAAAATTAAAAAATTTTAATTATAATAAACAAAAAATAAAATATTTTTATTATATTTTTATAATTTTAACAAATTATAAAATTTAATTATATGATAATATAATAAAGTATTATAATAAAATTATTGCATATAATATAATAATAATATATATAGTAAAATAACAATATAAATAAAATAATTATATAACAAAATAATAATATAAAAAACAATAAATAATTTTATAATAAAATAATAATATAAAATGATAGAGAGGTTTCGAAAAGTAATAAACTACAACAATAAATATTTTTATTTTATTTTAATCCATCCATGTCGCTATTATTTCGAGTATTGTGAAATATCCATTATCAGTGATCTTGGCATTAATTCTTATATTTAATTATTCGTAAAAAATTTTTTTGAGACTGCAGCTACCAACGGTTGAACTCGTGCCCTGTCAAATTTGAAGCTTAGAGTCAGTGTTCATTAACCAACTGATCTAAAACTGTTCACTACTACTTTTCGAAACCTCTATATTAAATATCGCAATTTCTATTAAAGTAAAAAGCAGCCAAATTTATTATAAAATAATCATATAATAAAATAATATAATAAAATAATATAATAAAATAATATAATAAAATAATATAATAAAATAATATAATAAAATAATATAATAAAATAATATAATAAAATAAATAAATAATAATAAAATATAATAAAATATAATAATAATAATAAATATAATAAAATAATATAATAAAATAATATAATAAAATAATATAATAAAATAATATAATAAAATAATATAATAAAATAATATAATAAAATAATAATTTAATGAAATAGTAACATAAACTGATGATAAAATAAAATAATAATAAAATAAAATTAAATAATAACAAAAAATAATAATAAAATAAAATAATAATAAAATAAAATAAAATAATAATAAAATAAAATAATAATAAAATAAAATAATAATAAAATAAAATAATAATAAAATAAAATAATAATAAAATAATAATGATAAAATAAAATAATAAAAAAATAAAATAAAATAAAATAATAATAAAATAAAATTATGATATAACAAAATCTTGTAGTTTTTACCTTAGATTAATTTTTTAAAAAAATTAAATATAAATTATTTTCATCATGAGTCTTATTTTTTTTTATTTTTTTTTATTGATTGGCTTTTAACTGAAATCACAATATACAATTAATTTTTTTTCCGTTATTGTTTTATTTTTTTATTTTTTTTTTTTTTTATAAACTTGAAATAATATGAATTTTGTGATAATTTTGACGCCAGTCGAAAATGAAATCACATGCAAAAAAAACGTTCGAACTTGACCTAGGCGCGCGAGATCACACAAATTATTTGGTTATTCAACTGTTTTGATACATCAATTATATTCCATT